CGCTATATAAATCCTGTATAATATAGGCTCACTGTTATCATAAGGAGTCTTTAATGGCTGCCAATCATATTCTTCCAGTCTAAAAATTAGAACCTGATTGGTGAGAGGTCTAATGGAAAAAAGAAGTTACACAACCCATGCTTTAAGAAATATCTTTAACGATCTTCTCCCATGTGAGCTTTGTAAAATCTGTCTGCAGCATAATTAGATTAAAGTCAATTAAAAGAAGAATTGTGTACTGCGTAAAATACAGAGGCTGTCATTGCAGACCAGGTGCCCGGCTTTCTCTGGCATCAATACTTTTAAAACCTGGGCAAAGAACTGGTATGCAGATCAACAAAGTCAGATTTCTAAATCACTAAACTTCAATAAACCTTTAAAGAGATTCTTTAAAGTAACAAAGTGCCCACCCAGTTATACTAACCTTTAAATCGCTCCCTCCCTGTTCCTTCTTTCATTGCAGCTACCACAAAAAAATCTGGTGCAAATGGCTAAACACTAGACCCAAACAATGGCACATGATTGAGCAACATCATTGCTCTCTGCAAGTGATTTCAATGCAGCGCACCACAATGCACAGGTGTGCAATTTACTGTGTTATGGTGCAGCTAATTTTAGCATTACTGTATTTGTACATTGGTGCCCCTGCCAAACATACTTATGTGTTGATTCAAATTGTGGTAAATGTATGTACCTCTAGAAAGGAATGCTTTACTTTTAACAAAAATAAGTCAAACCTTAAAACGGAAATTTTTTTTTACAAATAAAATTATAAAAAGGCGCCATTTAGAGTCCTGTGCACTTATAAAAACCTACTGTATGCTTTGGCTTTCTCATTGATTAAATACATTTAGTAGAATGCCTGCACTGAAAAACACTATTGCAATAACGCTATCGCAAACATCTGCTTTGTAAAATACAAGCTGCCTGGCTGCCATACTGATGCTTGACTAGTCACTTAGGCAAAACAGTGATTTTCCTTTGCTGCATTTATTTCTGGGAGTCAGAAATACTGAAGGCAGACAGCAAGAATTTCAAAAGGAGACTAGCAATGGTAGTCCTACATATTCCTCTCAAGACAAATGTAGTTTAAGTTGACATCAAATTGATGTCAAACTATAATATAGAAAACAAAAAAGCCTTTCTAAAGATTAATGAGAATTACCTGCAATGCTCAAGTAATATTTGCATACGGAAGTATATCACAGCATGAGCCCGCACATTTCAAAACCTTCACTACTCCATTTGTATACATTAGATTTATAGATGGATACAAGTATTTTTATATATTCAGTTCTGACAGGTAGTTGATATAGACCAGCTTTTTCCAAAGTGTTAGGCTTGTTATGGGTGCTATTTTCCCTAAATATAGGCAGGACATTAGTGGCCTTCTGGAAAGTCCATTAACTCCTTACATTACCCCAGGTAACATTGTGATTTGTGTTAGCTCATGTATGGGTGCTTTCATCATTGTATGCACGTAGGACACATGGAGCTTTTCAATAGTACAGGTGAGACTATGCAAAGATTGTGATGGCCATATTCAAGACAAGGTTGGGAAATACCAGCATAGGCAAAAGTAGTACTCACTTTAGCAATTCATACAAGAGTCCAGTAACAAAATGTCGGAATGTAGAAAGAGCAAACACCCCTTCTCCAGTTCCCTGCCACGCTGAAACTAATTGAGGCACTGCAGTGTTTAGGGAAGGATGCTTATATGTCTTTGGGTAATGCACAGAACAAGGGAATTGGTTGGAATATGACCAGTCTTTCTTAGACAGGTAAAGTAGGCTGATAGTTTATGTAAATGGTATCCTAATCCTAGGGTAGAGGCAATTTTTATAAATGAAACCCAATTTAAACCCAGCATGCTGCTAATCTTTTTCTTGTAAGCAACCCTAAAGTGTATAATTTTTTGCCAATAAGAGCCATCAGCACATATCTGATACATAAGAGCACTAGCTCCCTAGAAATATATATCATGTTGGGTCAATTTTTTTTTCTGCAGTTGGCCCTGCCCTTTCTTCATAAATACAGTATTGGCCAGAGAGGCCACCCATCACAGAAATGGGCCAATAAAGAGGGTTAGAAGCAAAACAGTAGAGCCTGGTGCTCAACCTGTCTAAATTTTGAAGGATCGGCATATCTGATCATTTAGGGTACTTAAGCTATCAAAAGTATTATTAATTTGTTTCCTGCAGAGAGTACTCTATATTGTTGGGACTGGACAACTGCCCCTATGAATTGATAGGGTAAGCCCAAGAGATCAGTGATCTTTAAATGGATTACGGACAAGATAAGGAGAACCAGTTTACAGTGGGCTCTCCTTGAGTTTTGCAGTGTAGCTGCCAGTCAGTTGTATCATATATGACAAATGAAGTGTGCCAATCGCAAAGTCTGGCATATGTATTCCTGTGTAAGCCCTCAAGCTTTAGGGGCCCAATGTCAACAAACAAGTGCATACAGGAGATTTTGATTTGCCACCTTTTTGCAAGATTAGGTCGTGAATGCAACACTATAAGCAGATGGCACATTTGTGGCCAAAACATAAACTCAGCAAAGTCTATATTTTCAGTGATGCACTACAAAAAGTGTAAGCTTGAACCATGAAAGAAATGGCTTTCTTCTAATCGTCAAATTATAGCATAGCAAAAGCCTTTCTAAAATGTAAAATTGTGCATTTTTTAATATTGTAAAATCACTGATAATTTCTGAAGATTTTCTATTACCATGGAAAACACTCATTTAAAGAAAAGATTCATATATCTGCAAACATGTTTGGGCATATTCATACTGAAGTGTCGCCACAAACAGCTGGTACCGAGTGGCAGTAAAACAAAAAAATCATAGATAGACAAAGTTTAAAACATTATACAAATAGCTCTTATATGAGCAGTAAAGTAAAAACAGTGCCTTAACATTGTGATCATTTTTTTTCTCCTGGAATTAATTAAATCAGCCCCATAATGTAAAGGATGCAATAATCATATTCCAGGCAGTTCTGAGAAAAAAAATTGAACATGCACCAGTACAGAAAAATGTGACTACATTTATTTTAATACCCGCCAACAACTGCAAGTATACAAAACAGTTGTCAAGAGGTAAGGATTGGGATGGATCCTATCAATCCAAATGCTTGATTTTTTTAAGAAAACCACAAAAAAAACAAAAAACAGAATCACTCAGAGCTTGAAGCCTCTCCTCTTCTAAGAGTCAGTTGTTATGTTTTATACAAGAAACAGGCAGCAGTACTCTTTTTATAAACCAACATCTAATTTGATAAAGTATATATATTTAGTTTAATTTATATTAAAACGATGAGCAACTCTAACAGGGCTGTGGCAGGGACCCAGGAGATGCTGTAATACACTGTAGTAGCTGGATCAATGTAAGAATATATTTTTATTTGTATTACTAAAGCTGGCGTTCCATTTTAAGCATGTTTCACTTATTACATTCTGTTTTATACTCAAAGTATAACTAAAGTCATAACTAAAGTCAAAACTCTTTTGATTTGGGTAAGTTGGTGGGGGGATAGAACCACCTGTCAGATTTTTATTCTCACATGTGTCCCCACTCTAAAGATTCACTCTAATTGTCCTAATCACCAATGTAACCAGGAATAAAAAGAGGTTTAATCCAAAATTCTGAGTTGCCACTAGAACAGAAATAAAAGGGGAAATCTTCGAGAGACACTTTTTTTCCCAGTGGCAACTGTCAAAGATTTCCCCTCACATTGGAAAGATATAGTCTTACTTCCTGTCGAGTCTACAAGCAAGGAAGTCCAGGGAAATCTTAATAAGAGACAGATGACGAAAAAAAACACTGACAGTTTTAACCCAATCATACCTATCCAAAATGTAAAAATACAGTTTTGGCTTTAAATATGCGTTAAGCTTATTTAAAATGTTTATAAAAGTTATTGGTACATCTGAAAAATTATGCACATAAAAAGAAACATGTATTAGTGCAAATTGGTTAAAATAAATTCAGTTGATAGTCAGGATACACTCCACCTGTTAGCCCTTTAGGGACATGTAATCTGCACGCAATCTGAATGTTTTTCAATAGCTTGTCTAAGCTTTAGTGTCATTTATAAATCTAAACAGCTGACCACACAAGAAAGCAACCACAAGGGGCTTATAAGATTTGTCCTATGCTATACATGCAAATGCATCACAAAAAAAAGTGTTCTTTTAAACAACAAATTGTAGTAGAAGTTGACCCAGGCTTATGAACTGGAATCACAATGAACCGCTTGGCAAGCTGGCCGCATATTGATGTCAAATCAATATTTATGGATCATATCAACCTATATTTTTCTAGGTCTGCAAAAGATGGCGCCATTTAATCTTGAAGTTTTTCATTTTGGAACCCAATTATATTGTATAGAAAACTACAGTAAACTAACAGTTTAGAAATATGAGGCTGTAGTAGTAAATTCAATTCATGATCTAGACATAGGGCCTTTAACTCATTTTGTCTTTACTTAAAAATTAGGGATATTTTAAAATTTAAAATAAAACAAAATAGAAAAAGAAAGCAGTGCTGCCCTCTCCATCTTCATACATATCCCTTCATATATGGTACACTGGTATGGTTTTTACAATACATTTAATAACCAAATTATATAGAAATTTCACATTCACACCGAAACCATCACACAAGCCTCAAAAACACACATGTTGGAAAATTGATGTATTTGAGTAATGATTAAGATTACAGTATTTTTTTCTATTAATCAGTAAAACATCAATGGAGCTGGACGTCCAACTTTCCAAAAGAAAGTGCATAAATGTCCATTTCCCCTTTAAAAAAAAAAAGAAAAAATCATGAACCACACCTCACTTTGTTCTGCTATTAGAGAATAGAAGGACTTGTCTCAACTCTTTCACTGCAATGCATCAAATAATTTTTTGCAGGCCCAAAGGGCTTTAAAGATCACAAGGCTTATTTACAATCAATGAAAATGAATATTTTCTCATTTATATATTTATATATGTACATATACACAAGCATCTACATTTTTTGTCTTCTTTTTGAAATGGAAGGTTGTTTAAGATGCTATATTTAGCAGCAATTGTGAAATTCCAGCACGTCTCCTATAATGAGCATACCTACAAATGGGATGGGGAGGGAGGTGTTCATTGCAAAAAAAATAAAAATTGCATCCTTTTTCATACAACCTGCATTAGTTTCACTGTACACGAGTCTATACACATTAGAAACAATAAAATGCACAGTACATCTATTGGTGAACATGTAAGGGATTCAAATTTTAAAATCCTCTTAAAATTAAAAAGTGAAAAAACCCGACAGCTGTTCAGGATTACACTGTACAATTCTAAAATTAGTCCTTTTCATAGTCCATACCCTTCCATCCCAAGAATGCAGGCGGGAAAGTTCCCATCAAAATTTGAATTCACTTCTGGTCAAAGTCAATTTTACCATATTACTTTATGCGTTAACATCAGGGACCATGTTAAAACTGAATATATAAAATAAGTTAATGCCAAATGATCAACTGTCAAGACTTGCAAGTTGCCATAAATGTTACAGCCTGTTTACAACTCCAGTCTATTAGTATTCAGCTACAACTCCAGTCTATTAGTATTTATTTCCAAATACAAAAGACCAAAGTTAATCCTTGCATTTGTATGCAAAGCAAAAGTTAGGATCACTAATAAATACACTCACTTAAAACTCTACAACTTGAACATGATACAAAAAGAAGTTTCGATGGTGCCGTTTAAAAAAAAAAAAAAATTAAAAGCAACCTCTGGTTGCGCATACTGTCCTCAAGAAATGACGTGCTAGTTTGTGGCAATCTCTTTACTGTCCTCCACAAAACGCATAAATCTGAAAGAAGTCCCATTTTCACTGCTCGCTAGTTTCTCCAGACCAGCTAGAGGTGCATTTGGTTCGGAGTTTTGCAATTTTTCTAAGTTTCCAGTCATGCCACTAACAGGTGAGCTCCCACCATTTCCCAAACTTCCAGTCATTGGAGTAATTCCACCATTCTGAATAACTGAGATTTCATTCGTCTTCATGGCCAATCCATTTGACAGTGCTGCAGCATACTGGTTCCAGAAAGTTGATGGATCCCCATTTCCTGTCCTGGCAACCAAGTCTTTTGAGAACATTTCTGGAAATTTAACTGGATTCCCTCCTAAAAATGCCATGGGTCCATCCACAGAAAGTCTTCTTCCTCTCCGTGCAGGTGTACTGTTCCACATGTGAGTGCCCATATGAAAATGTATTAGTATAAAAAAAAAAAAGTCAGTCACCTGGGCAGGATTAAAACATTTTAACAGATTAAACTATTGTTCACATTTTAATGCAATGTAAAAGGTTTACATTTTTTTTTGTATTTCCCAAAAGTCATGATAGATAAAAAAAAAATCTTCAATGTCAAAATACAGTAACTGGAGAGAGAGATCCCCAATGCTGCGCTGCTTTTTTCCCCTTTTTGAAAGAAGCTTGTCTTTACAGAAAAGCTTTCTTAAAACAAAAAGTATTCACATGTCTCAGTCTATCACATATCCCAGAAATGTGAGGATTATGCCTTATTCCTCATTTCAGGACAGTGGGCAGAGTTATGCAAATCACAGATCTCAATAATAAATATATCTGCTCTAGTCATTAGACCTGTTAAACAGTACACATTTGAAAACCTTGACCAGGTAAGGGGAGGGTGGGAATGGTCACGATTGAGGTTTTCCTGATTTGTGTGTGCAGCCAATATGTTTTCTTACAATGATAACACTCATGTTGTCCTATTCTGATCACCACAAGAATATCAGAGAGAATATCAGAATACCAACACATGTGCTATCTAGCATGTGTTGCTAGAAAGGACATTCTACCTACCACTATGCTTTTGTGATATTGCAACATGAGTTCAAAATGAAAGTTGAGCAGAAATCATGATTTGCAACTTATTATGGACATACAAGGACCAATTTAGAGAAACATGGCTTTTAATAAATTTTGTGTAATGAAATAGTTTATGGCAGTGGTTTCCGGTTTTGTTTCCCATAAAATTTAAAATCTCAAATCCAAATGAAAAAAACAAACATGTTTTCAGTTTCTTATTGCTTTTCCAGCACTGACTTTTATTCACAAAGCTTCCTGTAGAACCAGGCCTTAACCCTAAAGGAAGCTTGCATTCTGACAATACTATCTCTATTCTTTTCCTAGGTAATCTCTATTTTTTCCTAGGTACACATGGATAGATTTTTTTTTTGTTCAGAATCAGCATGTTTTGATTGTCTTGATTTAAAAAAAAAATCACAGGAACTCCCTTTATCTAAGATCTGTATGTACAAATATATGCATTGCTTCACAGACACTAGAAAAAAAAAATGTGAAGAATGAAAGCATGAGTGTGCTTTTCCTGTGCCATGCAGTTCCATTAGGGTTTCAAAAGTGATTATGCAAAATGCCTTTAAACGCAATATTTCTCAAGCCAGTGATAAGTGCTGTACTATTCTATGTGACTGGACCACCAACAAACTCAACCAATGTTGGACTTGATGGACTTATGTCTTTATTCAACCCCAAATACTATGTAACTATGTAACTATGTTTAAGAATGAACAACATCAATCTAAAGCTGCACCTAAAGTCTGGTTATCCTAAGAACAAGCAAAATATGGTTTTAAAAACAGGTTAAAGGGTTAATACAGAGATTTAAAAATTTGAACACTTAACATTAACAGATTCCACAATTTAAATCACGTCCACAGACTGCATGACCTAACAGTCATTATTCATCTCACATTTCTGACAGAAATCTCTAGAGAAATTCTCTGTCAACACTATGTGAACAAACGCAAGGGCTTAGCTACTGTTTAAGAACCTGAGTCACCCATGCTTCAGATGAATAAACATCTTGGTTAAGCACTTAAGGGTTGCAGCAGATAAACTCGCTTGTTCAAAAAGTCAATAGAATAACGGTTTCACATAAGAATGATGCTGTGCGTTAGGATAGGCTCCCGTCCCCCCAAATGCTCCCTTATGTGCCTACTTCAAAGCGTAGAATACCAGATATTCATCGAATATTGCATGTTGTGATCAGAATCACAGGTTACATGAGGAAACCTGTATTACTCAATGCCTATAAAGGACATGTTAAATAAACATCACTGCTTTCAATGTCTCTAGTTTAAAGAGCCTACGCATACCAGACTGCTACTTTTCAAAGGGCAGCGAAGGCCGATGAATGTGTCTGTACTTCTTCAGCCAATTTAAAATGCCTATGTCATGTCTTACAGTAGTTAAGATGCCAACAAGAATTCTGGGTAAGAACATGCACAAAAATACTGCACACGTGTTAAGTTATACAGTGATCATGAACACAGTTACTAGTCTTAACGTTAAGCGGACAATTTTTAAAGCCAATTTGTGCTCCTGATTAAAAAAGACTGGCTAGCACTCATATTCAGAAGTCTATGCAAACAGCACACAAACTCTTAGCAACTTCTAGCTTTAGATTACTGCACATCTTCCTTGAAGATGTCTGTTAAGCTGGCCATACACCTTACAATTATCTGCAGATTTTCTATGGTCGGATAGAAAAAGTGCAACAGATTCCTCCATCTACACTAATCTGTGTGGATGGAGGAATCTCCCACTGGGCCAAGCTTCAGCATCTTGCTAGTCAGCCTCACTGGCTCTTAAAACACCTGAACAATGCCTGCATCCAATCATTGTTTAGGTATTTTGACAGCCAGCGGGGCCGACTAGCAAGATACTGAAGCTTGGCCAAGTGGGAGATTCCTCCATGCACACAGTTTAGCACAGGTGGAGGAATCTGTTACACTTTTCTCTTCTGACCAAAGGAAGTCTACAGAAAATCTATAGGTGTATGGCCAGCTTTAGGCTGGTCGTTTTCACACTTCTCATGTTTAATTAAACATGATTGGTTACCAATTAAGGCAAAAGATATATGAAAGTATATCAATATAGCCTTTGTTCTAAATGCTCAATACCAGTAAAAGGTAAAACCATGCTGCCATGGGTTACGGCAACAGTCCCTTTTTAAGAAAATGCAAAATTTTCTGGAGAAATTTAGGACATCAGATCAGAGTCATCATGATGTCATCCGTGGTTTTATTTTAAAGGGACACAGGACAACCAGATCATTCAGTACCCAAGGTAAAAATGCCAAACTGCAGCCTCCCTTCCTCAGTTTATTATGTATGAGTCAGTCTTCTTTTCCTTGGTGGTCAGTTGCAAAGCTGTTAACCCTCTTTAACCCCTCTCTGCATTGGTGGTTAGTAGCAGGGTTAATTAATCCCCTTCCTCCCACATTGGTGGTCAGTGGCAGTGCTGTAACCCACACACACACACACACACACACACACACACACACACACACACAGGTGGCCAGTGGTAGTGTTCATTAACCCTTCCCCCCCCATCATTGGTGGCCAGTGGCTGTGCTGTTAACCCCCACATACACACTGGTGTTCAGTGGCATTGGTGTTAACCGCTTCTGTCACACACATAGGTCACTGGTAATGTTAATTTGTTCCCATCCTTGCATTAGTGGTCAGTGTCACTCCCCTCCCCTGCCACTCTCTCCCCCACATACACACACTTTTGTGCTCAGCCAGTGGCAAGTGTTAATTTCAGCACGCATCACCTTCCCATTCGTGATACAGCCAGCCTATTTTTGAAAAAAGCCAACCATAAAGGTGGCCATACACTGTACAACCATCGCGAGACCTTAGTCTTGCGATGGTTGTAAAGTGATTAAAAAAATGTACGATCTGCCCATCTTGGACAGGCAGATCGTACTCTCGATCATTGCAAGCCCGCCCCCCTAAGGGGGGCCTTAATGGCCGCAATGTTGAAAATCGTACGATTCTCAGCTGGTTTTCTAACATGCTCCTTAGACAAAAGACGTGCGACCGTACAGTAGAAATGGTCGCACGTCTTCGTTCACACTGTTAGATTTTCGTACGATCGCGGGATTTCCCACACGAGAATCGAGCAGTGTATGGGCACCTTAAGATAGATGATTTCTATTGTAACCTCATCTAAAGCGCACTTGTGGCACACCAGGGAATGAGGCTATGTTGGTGATATAAAGGCAGTGTTTCACTTTATCTCATGATGTCATACATGCAGACTGGGACTTCTGTTGTTGGGCAGAGCTCAATCTGATTTACAGTACAGCCTAATTCTAACTCCGGGTGCGGGAATGCATAGAATGTCCCAGTACCCATCAGACCGCTGCCAATCTGAAAGGTGTTCAGTCCTAGTCTGCACATTAAGCACCCACTCATAGCAAGACTTTAGCAGTTAGTAGGAGCAATGTGAACAAGCACCACCCCCCACCCCCCCCCCCCCCCCCCATATCACTGCCCACATGCACAAACAAAAATGTTGCACCTAAAGGATGGCTGCTACCCCCTCCATGGCCTAGCCATGGAGCCATCACAAAGAAAAAAAATAAGGCACCAGCAGATTTCCTAAATCTGTCAATGCTCAGATTAATGTTAAATGCTAAATAATAGTCCCTCTAAATGTGGCCATTTTTAATCATCTGCAGTGCTCAAATATAGAGCATTGTTGAGCATTCCTGAGTTTTACAGCTTTCTACTACAGAATCCGGCAAAAATAGAATGCAGCAACACTGCTGCTTTACATGTAAATGCATTACGAAAAAGTAAAACATTTAAATTTTCTTTCATGCTGTGCTACAACAGTTATCTTACTTCACATGACTCGACTGAAGCAAAGTTATAATTTAGTATGTGTTGTAAAGCAGTGACAAACCATTTTCAAAAAGTGTTGAAAGCACATGATCTCTCCCAAAAGCTTTTTTTTCTTTTAACACATGCCATCACTTTGAAGGATGCATAAATACCACTAGTCAATTGTAAGCACATTTTATAGATGTCTCCTAATACCCAGATAAAAGGGCAAAGGTTGAGGGACATTTTATAGTCACCTGCTTCTACACTTTATAGGACATTAAAATTATATTCAGATCTTTGCACACCAAAAACTAAATTTCTTAGGTTTGGTCTTTGTTGGATAACAAATGTATACAATATATTTTCTTGGAATTTTGCTTATTAACCAATGTTGTTAAAAATACTAGTAATAAAAAATAAAAAGTACAAATTTACTTGCAACCATCTAAGGCTCTGTCATAATAAAAAAAAATATTAAAAATTGATAGCTTATGAATAGAAATTGTTTTTTGTAACCAGATTAAAACAGTTTACTGATACATTGAGAACAAGCATAGAAAGTAAAGTCAAAATTAGCCCTTTCAGTACATTAGCAACCTGCTGTTATTTACATTGAGTATGCATCCTTTTGTAAAAAGGACCCATAATCATGACATGTCTGCAGGTCAAACTGAGTGATCATTCTTTTAAACTATCATAGCATAAAACATGCATGGTTTACTGGTTTAGAGTACATATTTCTGTACAGAGCAGACATCATTGGACCAGTCTAACACTGGTTGGCCAGGCAATATCTGCTGGGGTTGCAGAGAGCTCATAGACATACAAAATGTTTTCAAGCTGGCTGTAATCGGTCAATTTAGGTGATAATCATCTAGTGTCAGACACCTTAGAATAGATGTAAGAAACAGACCCTATTCAATAGCGATGCCAGAAATTGCACTTAAGATTTTCATAAACCACTTCTATTACTAGTCTGAATAAGAAAAAAGTTACCAACAGTGGGATGGCTAAATGTGTGCCTCAAATTTAATGCCAAAACGCAAGTAAAATATTTTCCAAATTCTAGATGTTTAGGAGTTAAATATATTCTTATTTGCAACCAAAGTGCCACAGAAGTACATCTCTATTAAAGTGGAAATGTCAACTACATCTTATTCTTAATTACCCCATCATCCCTAAAGAGCCCCAATTAACTTGAAGCTTTTACATTACTGGGAAATATTATGAATTCTCCTAGTCTCATATAGTACAATTACTGCTTATGGGTTGGTTTGTATGGTTTTTGTTTCAAAAAGTGAGAACATTTTCCCATTAAACTAAACAGTCAATATTAAAAAAAAAAAAAATAAAAAAATAATAAACAAAAAAAAATCAAGGTAAAAAACACATATATACACACATATATAGATGATATAGATATAGATATAGATATAGATACACACACATGTACACATAGGGATTTCTCTTCAGGCAGGATTTCCATGTACATCAGCATACTTGGGTGTATTTCAGCACAAATAAAATGTAAGTCACTGTTTACTAAGGAACTGGTTCAACAAAACAGTTTCACTAAACAATATGATGCTATAAAAGGAGTAAAACAATAAAGGACTTTGTCGCTCTCTCAAAAATGCCAGCAAGGAAATCAGTCCTTTGCAAAAGTGAAAGCGCACGAAAACACAAACTAGCTAAACAAAAATTACAATTTGTTGCGTTAAAAAAAAGTTAGCTTAGAGTATTGTACATTTACCCAAACATGTGTGAATTCCCACTAGGTGTTAAAGTGAACCTGTCACTCAAAATAAGCAACAATAAGGCTTTATAGCAAAATTTAGATACTGCAGTTGAAAAGCTTTTTACGATTAAAATACAGCAATTGTGCTGTATATATTTAGCTTTCATCACTTTATGCCTGGGCATTGTGGACAATTTTTCAATATGGCTGCATCCAGAGGGAATTACTATTACTTTGTGGTCCTGACAGACGCTGCAAAAAAAACATTGCATTGATCTGTTGCATGACCAAGAGTTTGTATTTTGACTGATTCCTGTTTTATTACTACTGTTTTTAACCAAATCAAAACATTCCTAAGCAGATAAAAATATTGTATTTTCTAAATGCTACCAAGGGTTTTTGACCATACTAACAGTAATACAGGTATAATAAAGTAGAAACAGGTATTTTATACAGTACACTTCAAGCTTTAGACATTTCCAGGGCCATTTTTTCAGGTTAGTTAAAATAGAAGGCAGTTGGTGTACTTAAGAACTCCCACATATTATACAATTTTAACCAATTTGTTGAACTTGGCTATATTTGGCAAGTTAAAAAGATTCTTTATAAAAAAGCTTAATTACTAAGTTAAGGAGAATAGCTATCCAAAAATTAAGTATAATGTACAAACAAACTACCCAAAAATTATATTGATATAGTAAACAAGTGGAATAGATGGTACTACAATTCAGTGATAAAAAGCACTGCCCCTTGTCCAGGTAGTGAACAAATTAATAACAGGACTAAATTTAATCAGCCCAACAAAATATTCTGGCAAAATGGCAGCAGAATGAGATACAGTTTTCACTGTTGAGGCATTTAAGAACAAAAATAGATAAGGGCAAAGGATAAAGGGAAGGATGAAGAACCACCATCAAAAATATAGGTATATCCTATTAGAAAATGATATACCTATATGGTGCATGTGATCTTTTTGGGAAACTGCCAAGTAGAAGATCTTAATAAACATACAAGAGGCAGGGTTTAAGTTACCTCTGGTCACAGGATTTTTTGTTTCAATCCCTTGAATGTGCACACTCAGTTAGCATTTCCTAGCAGAGCATGGGAAAGGGAAGTACACTAGGTAAATAGCACTCTTCTACAAGCTCTGTCCTCTTAGCTTAACATCCATATTTTTTGTTGTTCCTAATTATTCACCGTTTAAAAGGAGGATATTAGACCTCTACTTGAGCAATGCACAGGGGAATGAGACCAACCAGTCCTAGAATTGTTGAGCAATCTATGCATGTACTACCCCCCTCCTCTTCCACCAGTTTGTGCTTGAAATTACCCAATATGTGCCCAGGAATAACTGACTGCATTTCTTTACACAAATACTCACCAACCTCCTGGAGTCTCAACTTTTAATTAAGTACTGTTCACATACATACTGCAAAGATTATATTTCCCTTATTAAACAAAATGGTGACAATTAGGTCAGCAGACAAGGTCAGTGTGCTCTCAACAACGTTTTGACCAATATTTGGTTATGTTGCACTCCAAGCACTATCTGGTGTACTCAAACCAAGCAAACCCTAGGAAAAAGATGACTTTTGTTTGTAATCAAGTTAATTCTGATCATCAAAATTACTTTGGTTAATGCACCAAGCAGAAGATGGCATATTCTTTATGGTCAAAGGGTTCATTACCCACAAAATTAGGCCTACCAGGTCTCAGTGGTTGTTGAAGTGCCCTAACTGGAAAAAAGCCCTTCAGCTTTGGAATACTTGCATGTGCAACAGTGGTGGGCCATAAAGTACACACCCAACATACCATTCTAAAAACACTTGTGCTCTGGTTGTAATACCAATTCAATGGCTTCCGTGCTAACTACAACTTGGAATAAGTAGGCAGATTAGCATTTCATGCTTTAAATATTCATGTTATCAAACAGGCCAGTCAGTTTTTTCCTCTACTTTTGAGATATATAGATATATATATATACACACACACACACACACACACACACACACACACACACACTCTAAATAGAGAGTATAATGTATGCATGTATATACACACACCCACCAGGAAGTGAGAGGAAATCCCCCTAAAATTAGGAAAATCCCATTAAAGAAAGAAATTCAGTGAAATAAGTGTCCCCATTGAAAGATTCCCCCTCTATTTTGATCTAGCGACAGATCAGTGACAGTGATTACTAGAACAAACAATCTCCTTAACGGAGACACAGCCAGAAATGAAAACCTGACAGATTCTAAACTCTCATAATGTTTACAAATGTAAAAAGATGTTTTTGACTACAGAAAACGCAAACTTTTCTGATCTGCATGGTAGTGTTTTAAATGACTGAGGCCAGAGACAGTCACCAACTAAAAATTTCAGAAGGCAATCTAAATCTGCATATTTATCTCAAAACCACAGGTTTCTTTTAAAGTCATTTAGCCTTTACAGACTAGCTTAATTCCTCAGTTACAAATGTTCATATTGGTTGCATTATTTGCATTATATTGCTGAATGGCAAAATGTTACACCGTGAAAAACTCTGGAAGGTTTAGATATATAATTCAGAACAGGTTGAAGGTGGAACATATGCATGTCAACATATATACACTGTTGACAAATATCCTTTCACTGCACTTGACTTTTTTGCATCAGTTAAGAAAAAATAATAAAATAGTTTTACCTTAAGATTCCCTTTCGTAGTAAAGGCTCTGCCACATATGCTGCAGGCAAATGGTTTTTCGCCAGTGTGAGTTCTCTCGTGGATTTGTAAAGCGCTGGAAGATGAAAAAGACTTGCCACATGCATGGCAGTAGTGCTGTTTTGGAGTCCTTCTTGCCAAGGATGGAAGGAGAACAGGTGATGTGGCTGAAGAAGATATAGATCCTGAAGATGTAATACATGATGGTGGTTCCTTGTTGTCATGAGGTGAGCCATGTATGAAACCATTAAATTCAGTTTTTATGAGGGCTGCCAGAGGATTGGTAGCTGGGTTTATTGTTGAATTGGTGGTAATGGTCAAATTGGAGTTGGGCTCAAAAAGTTGAGAAGGTAGATCTCTCATCTGATGTGTCAGCATGTGCTGTTTCAAATTGCCTTTAGTGGAAAAGCCACGGTTGCACATTGTGCAAATGAATGGTCTCTCTTTGGTATGGCTTCTGTAATGAATGTCCAAGGCACTTTGACATGCAAATGTTTTGCCACAAATATCACAAACTGTATTTTTAAATTTATTCCGTTCTCTGAATGGAAAGAGCACACCCAAAGCTTCTTCTTCTTTTACCATTTTATCAGTGTTAGTGGAAGTCAAATCAAGGGCACCCCCATTGGCAGGAGTTGGAGACATTCCGTTAGGAAGTTCAGGTGGTAAAGCTTTTTGCTGCTTCTCTTCTGTGATAGGGAATTTCATAAAGTCATTTGTGCTGTTAGGTGACAAAGCATTCATGGAATATGTAGATTCTGAAGCTGCTGGGCTTCCAGCACTCTGGCTTTCTATATCTCCCCCAAGGGACAAAGAGTCATTAGTCATACGATCACCTTCGACAGAGCCATTTTCTGTTGACCTTAGACTGGCCTGGAGCTGCTCTACTAGTCCAGCATTGATCATCTTCATTTGGTTCTCCAAAGCAGTAATGCTTGAGATTTCATTGGGCATTGGGGAGGATGACCGGCTATCCTGGAAGACATCTGCAGATTTTGGGGTATCGGGGACACTGCTGTCAGGACAGTCTTCCATGTTCTCATCTGAGAAGTTGTCTAGGTCATCAATAGTTTTCTCGTCAAAAGAACCAGTATCAGATTCCATAGAATCAGGATAGTTTTCAGCAACCGGAGTATTAGGAATTTGTCCTCCCATATGCATTCTGATATGCTGTTGCAGAACAACAGCATTAGTAAATTTCTTTTGACAAATAGGACATGAATGCTGTACTCTAAGTGGTGGCATGGCACGGTGAACACTGTAATGGGTCTTTAGGTTACCTTTTGTGGTAAAAGCACGGCCACATACTTTGCATTTGAAGGGTCTTTCTCCAGTGTGGGTACGGTAATGCATTTTCAGGGCACTCTGACAACTCAGTACCCGATGGCAAATTACACACTCATTGGGGTCACTAGACTTTTTGTCAATGTTTTCTACAAGCTGCTGCAGTTTTGAAGTCTCTGATGTAGGAGCTGCATCCAAAAGACCCCCAAATGGAAATGTTGCTTTAAACTGCTCTGACATTAGTGGTAGAAGTGGGTTAGGAAAATTTGCAGTATTGGTAGAACCAGAATCACCTGCAGGAGAACAGTCCGCACTGTTATAATTTTGAAAGTTATTTGAATGCTGTGAATTTTCTTCACATTTCTCTTCAAAGCTCGGCAATTCACTGGCTTCAGCATCTTCTGGAAGACTGCTATTTTTTTTAATCAGTGGTTCTGAGCTTGTCAAATCACTTTTTACTGACTCTGAAGGACTAGCTAGTGGATGACTAATAGCAATAGGCTGAATCTCCTCAGTTTTAATAAATGGTGTTAAGTTGGAAATGGTTGGTGGGAGGGGCATCCCAACAGAAGTAGTCAGTGTAGGCAACACTGGTTTAGTGTCCAGCCAGTTGGTTACGGGCTTTTCAGGTGGTATTGACATCCCATATGGGATTCCTGTACTTGTAGGTATGTTGTCTAAATGCTCTGGCACTGGATATGGATTCATCTGAATGTGAGGATATTTATCTTTGTGACGTTGAAAGTGTACTTTTAGATTCCCTTTGGTGGAAAACCGGTTTCCACAAATGTTGCATTTAAATGGCCTCTCACCCGTATGAGACCGAAGGTGGATCTGCAAGGCACTGTCACTACCGAAGACCTTTGCACAGAACCTACACTTGTGTTTGAAGAATGCTTCATCAGATGCGCTCTTTGTTTCAAAAGCAGATACACTGGCTGGCTTGTTTTTCCTCAGAGAATTTAAGTCCTCTGCTGTTGTTCCAACACTGGGCAATGTATTAGGAAAAAGGGTGTTACTCGAGACAGGTTGAGGTAGTAGTGGGTTAGACATGGGACTTAATAAACTGCTTACTGCAAAAGCTGGTGAAGATGTTACCGGTACTGGTGGGTTACTGACCTGTGAGCCACCAGTGGTTGCAGGTACTCTGTCTGAAGAGGATGGATTAATCGTCGTCAATGTATTAATATTTGGAGAGGAACTACTGCTGGATGGAATAGTGTTAGGGCTGCTCCGAGGTAGCTGTACTGGGGGTAGTTGCTTTATACCACTAATGCTAGCAGATTGACTAGCAAGATTTTGTGCTAAGCCAGCTGCTACTGCCAGCTGTTGAGACAAGTGGGAACTCAATGTAGCCAGTGGAGTAGCTGATAATCTCAGTGTCCCTTGAGACCCACTAGAAGTTGCAGGTATCTCTGCACTTTGTGAAGCCAGCAGTAATATTTGGTGCCGTATTTGCTCAATCAGGTGAAGCTGATGTATCTGCTGCTGCTGTAGTGCCAAGAGTTGTTCCATTAGTGCAGGCACAGCCAATTTATTGTTGGTGACCCCTTTAGATTTTGCTTCTTGTGAGAACTGTGCTACTGCCACCCTAGTGCTCTGAAGGTTTTCAATGATAACATTGCTGTTAATAACAGAGAAGTTGCCCAAAGTTGTCAGATCCCTTACTTGAGGTAGTGAGGTTGTAATAGCTGAGGTACCCAATGTGGAATTATTACTGCTTGAAACTCCATTGTCCACTTGGTTGGAACCACTGCTGCTATTGCTAGCTTCGATCTCCACCTCCATGGATTCTTCTTTGTCAGGCTTATTAGGTTCTGAAAGGTCACTACAGTCTGCTTGATCTGTGTTATTAACGGTGTCATTCATGTGCTCGTCAGGATTATCTGAGGGGGGACTTGGAGAACTTGTTCCAGCAGGAGGTGGTGGATTTTCATTCACAATTAGAACCAATTGATTTTTAGTGCAGTTCTTCTTATGCTGCAACAAATCTGATAATTCAAAGAACTCAGCACAGCATCTGCTACAGACATGAGCCTCCTTGTTCTTGGGTGTCCGATGAGTTTGACCTCTCTCTGCAACTCCTTAAAAATATATATATATAGATTATTATTAACAGATTATAACAAATAACTTCAAGCCATGTAGACTTTACAACACTTTCTAGCTTTTGTAATTTATTGCAAGCTAGTTTTTTTGGGTAGGAAAACAAAAACACCACAACTTTCTCTTTTCTTCTGTAATCTTAAAGCATGGATAATAAGCCCTGGTGCCTTAGATAATCATTTACCTTCAATAATCCATCAAAATATAAAAATACCACAAGAGAAGCCATCAGGCAATAATGAAATTCCATAGCAGATATTGATTTTCAATATTTCATGCTCTTTTTTTGAGTAGCTCTCCACACAACATTTGAATGATTCTTGTAAGTGTAAGAAGTATCCAGTGGTCTTAAAGTATGCAGGACAATTCACCCAGCACCACTGAAGTAATTTTAATTATGAAATGCTAGTGCTAACAACTTTTATGTACAATAAAACCTGAACTGTATACAAATTAAAAATAGATTTCATACATACACATTTAATATACAAATGCAAATTTTTTTCTCTAATTTGCAAAGTCGATAAATACAAGGAAAATAGCATATAATTTTTTTTTAGTGATCATCAATGAAGTAAAATAGTTTCATTTTGGTTGCTCACCAATTTGTTTTTCCCACTAGTTGCTCACATGTCTTATCACAACTAGTGCCATTTGCAAATTAAACATAAGACTCCCGACTAACAAACTAACTGATCCTATTGAAAACAGGATGGTTTCCTATTGTTCACCCAGCGTGAAGACAAACTTCAGTTGTTCAAAATTGTGTGTGGTTATCTTACAAGGCTGAGAAAAAAAAAATGCCTTTCCATGTGCTTTAAAATGGTAAAATATACTTTATAAATGTGTCTATGTTTATAGGGCATAACAGTGAACGCTCTCATGTTTTGACAAGCAATATATGCATTTTAGATGCAGCTCTTTTCCCATGAAAATTCAGCTTCTAATATATTCAAGAGAAATCTTTCACATTTCCATATGTAATGGTTATGTCCCCATCTACTTTTACAGCCAATTATGAGGGAACAAAAAGCCATTCTGTTTGTGCACACATTTTGAACAAAATGCATTAAAACTATTATGTCAGCATGTTCATTTAAGCTCTACATTCAGTGGAAAATACTTTTCAACCAGATCACATTTATCAAAACATAATGCCACTTTAAAACACAGTTTTGCTTGGTCAGCTGTGCTTAGGCAAATAATAGCAAATTCACGACTAAACAGCTTGTAGAGGGGGCCAACGAACTCTCTCTCCTAAACGGGATGTGCTTTCCCAAAACTTTTAGAGGAGAAAGAACTATTAACTTTAAAAAATCGACAGCTTACAGTCACAAAAGCAGTGATCAAGCTTTGGCAAGGGTTGGACACACATTTCAACATTACACAGCAAGCAAACCACTAATTCTAAAATGGATATGTGAAAGTTTCAAGACTAGGGAGAATTATAAAAGTGTGTACCTACGTTCATTTTTAAAAACAAATTTCATTTCTTCTACTTCCGATTTCATTTCTTCTGATTCTTTATTGATCCTCAATTGCAACAAATCCAGTGTACCTAGAAGTACAAAAACGCAAATGTGGGGAAATGTAAAAATATACAGATAATTGTGATTAATGACAATCTGGACTTTAATTGAAGGCTAAGTTTTGTAAAACTGCATAGCTACAAGATATTTAAGATAACTATTTCCCCTCATTTATACACATTTGTTTTAGGTTTAATCCATTTCATGAAGAGGAAAAAAAGCAGATCAGAGAAAGCATTAAACAGAAACTCAGCAGAAAAAGAATACAATGGCAAAAGCTTTCCCCAACATACAAGTGCAGGTTAAATATGAACTGAAAAGCTTTTCTTAAATAATTTAACATTCATTTAGTTTTTTTAAATGACTATAAAACTGTATAGTGGCATTAAAAATTTGCATGCCAATATACAAGATAGAACAAATTCCCAATTTAGAGCAAGAATTCTTGTGATTAGTATAACCAAATTTAAAGTGTTGAAGAAAAGGTTAATTTCCTCTCACAATTTACAAAGATAAAGTTTAATTTCCCAGTGCAATTCACAAAAGATAAAGTTCACATTTTATAATAATGAACACTAGGTGGAGATCCAGATGCAGTGGTTTCAAGGGGGAAAATAGTGCATGACAGTCCCAGTATTACTGAAAGAAAGGCTCCTGGAGGCTACATCTACACTTTAGCTACATAAATATTGGCATTCAGACAAGAAACTAAATCCCAGTTGTTTTGGAGAACAATGCTCTATGGGAAGCACTTGTCAATCCACTATGGGTTTCTTCTGTTGTCTGAGGGCAGGAAGGGGGGAATAGGGTTAAAGAAGTAGTGGTGCTGATAAGGTGTAGTTAGTTTGTTAACTCCCTGCTAGGAGAGATCAGGGGGGGACTGGATTCTGAGTCAGCAAGGGAGAATCAAAAAACATATTGTAAGTCTGAACTGTGTCACCTTTTCCAGGGAGAGGGCCAGCAGAGGTTAAGAAAGCACAATACTTAGATTGATGTACATGTTGATTAGAGTTAGCAGACATAACACAGTGCGTTGTACATAATATACAGTATATATATCAGTATTTATTGCATACTATGCAATATATATTAGTATTTACTGCATACAAAACATTTGCCTTAAATATGTTGCTTCTTGAAGAAAAAAATTTAATAGTAAAAAAAGATGTATAATTTTGAGCTCAGTTTACCGAAATCTAGCAGGCAATCCACCTCTTTACATTTTCAGGACAGTAAATTAAATGCATCTCCACCCTGCTTTCTGCTACGGAAGGACCTGTTGAATTTCTTAGAAGATAAGACTGTTTGCAAACACTGAAGCCCTTCACTATAAGGAAGAAAAACAAACAAATGTACCCAGGCAAAGCCGCAGCTGGTACAGGTTCGAGAAGTCACAACCACCACTTAAAACCAGTGCGCCCAGTCACACAGAACTGACACCAGGATACACATAATCCAAATATCAACTTCAAAGTTTGCCACCGTGCTTCCAGCCTAACGTTTGTTTCTTTAAATGTAGCACAACTTAAATGTTACTTTTCACATGGAAGCTGCTAAATAGAAACATTACGAACATACGTGTTGTTATGTAAACTATAGTTAAAGAATTGTAGCCTTCAGTGGCTTTAATGGAATACTAATATTATTACAAGATAATCCTCTGCACTATTACCAACATGTCCTGCAGGCAGATTTAACCTTATTGTTCGAAACCTGATGTAAAAGCTATGTTAAAAGATTTAGAAGTGATAAAAATCTTTTTTTTTTTCTTCTCGGTTTGCTAATAACTTGAATACACTTTAAAAAAATTAACTCCTTCTTCCCTGCATCGCGTCCGAGTTAAAAAAAGAATATGTTTTAAATCTTATGTTATCAGGTGTGAGTCAAATAAGAAGAATAAAAAAAAGGTTATGTTGGTAATTTATTGCTATGGCGATCTGAAACCTGTCTGTGCTCGGCGCAAGCTAAAACAAAGTAATTATGTTGCAAATGTCTAGATGTTATTTAGAAGCAAACAAAAGACTTCTTTGATGTAGTTTGCATTCAAGCCATAAAAGTTTCTAAGGAGACAAAATACAAAACGGGTGGTGGCGGGGGATAAACTTAGGGGTTTTTTTTCTTTAGTTTTATAAAGAGCAAAAAGGAGTGGAAAACCATGATCAAGTGAATATACTACAAATGATGACATAGGATAAGAGTATACGATTAATAAAACACTAATAAAACTGAATAAATCTACAGTTTATATTTCAAGGCACCTAAAATATAATGTTAATTATTAAATTGCAGTTTTTAGGTTACAAAAACTATAAATGGCCGCAAAGTAATATTTAAGAGCATCAAGTCAGTGTTCCCAGCCTGTATGCATTTTATATTTGGTTCAGAAGCAGAAAAGGGACTTTCTTTGCACTTTTTGGGGGCTAGATGTAGATTAATCAGTAACCATCTCATGCTAGATGTGGTTAATCTTTTAGCCGCATGAGAAAAGGGAAATGTATAGGGTCACCTTTGTGAATGACTCATACAAGGCCAGCCTGCTGGTCACCGCTATTGCCGTTTTTTTGGGGGAAAAAAAACCCAAACTCAAGGAGCACAAGGAGTTAAGTCCTAAGAACAGCACTACTTAAGAAGTTATCTACAGGAGTCAAAAGGTGCTTCCTTCAGTGCAAAGCAATCATGGTACGTTAATTCCTAGAGACATCCAGAAACAGATTAACTTAACCAGATATCATAAATAAGAAGGGAGAGATCTGGAATGGAAAGTTGTTTTTTTCGCCCCCCTCTCTCTCTTTTTCTCCCCTTTAGCCAGCCCATGTGGAGTGTATTGTTTGTTAGTGAATAGCTCGGAAGGTCTGACCCTAAATGTTGCAGGATTTCACAAAAGGGCATGGGGAGAAGCCTGCTATTCCTCTAGGATGTTTGGCATAAGGGGACAAATCGCTTTTCAATGGGGGTCTGGTGTAATGAAATGGGGATTGTCACACAAGGTGCATCCACTGGATTAGCTGGAGAGAGAGAGAGAAAAAA